TGCTTGTATAAAAAGACAAACTAAAAATGATAGTTTCTCCTATAAATAAAAAAAAAAGAAATACTAATTAAGAATGAGTCATGCCATATATAATAATAATAATAATAATAATAATAATAGTGTGTTTTTGCTCAACCTCGAGGGATATAGTTCCATTCAAGGTTTGATATGCCTGATGTAACTTGATTAGTTAAGCTGGAGAATCCGCCCAAAAGAAAAAAGAATTTTGGGAGGGGGGAGGGTGGGGAACAAGAGAGGGCCATTGCCCAACTAGAAATGACAGAACATGTCAGGTCAACAAAAACGAAGATGATCGAGGTGGCGAACATATGTAATCCACCAAACCAAGATAAGAATTTCAGCATGCATACAGCATTGTATTCTTGCATACATGTTAAATCGAAACTAATAAAGCACGGGCAAAATAGTTCAGTGTGGTTAACTGACAATATTGTGAAATTAATCAAGCTAGCTAACGTGGAAAGTATTTATATCGCGCCAGTTGATGAAGTGGTAGTTTATAGATATGTAGTGGCGAGAGGGAAGATAAAATAGTGAAGAGAAAGAGAGGGCGGGAATAGTGGACAACAAAAAACTGAACGGAGGCACATGATGAACTGTGCAGTGATAGGGTGGTCCTCTGACACCGAGTAGATGCGCCTCTCATCCCCACCACTTTGCCTTTAAATTTGCCTTTGCACCTCATCACTTCCATTTCTAATCCACCCCCTCTCCTCCCTATACATATACTGTATATCATTAGCTGTAGCATTATACATATTGCTCATATATATTTATAACAAGATTGAAAAATGAACCAATAATCTCTGGCGGCTAGCTGTTCTAGTTGATAAGGATCCATAGTCTCGTGCATGACTCTGACTATGTGCGAGTGTGACAGAAAACGTTCTCAAATGTCAAATTTTGATCGACTTAATTAATAATAGATTCGAACCAGTGCTCTGCTTGTTTTAATGCACGTTGCGGTCTCAATTCTCTCTTGTTATTCACCGCTTGGCGATGATGATTCTTGAATGACCTCATCAGTTTGAGCTTATTAACTAATCTACTCTTTAGGATGCGTATTATGTATACGCTTCGGAAATAACTTTGTAATTTCAAAGGCACCGCAGGACAGGATGTGGTGGTGAGGGGGGCTTTGACCTCATTGCGAAGTCATGTCAGACGTATCATTATCTCATGATTAAAGTTGAGCAAAGATAATTGCCTGCAGCGGCGTTATTATGTTGCCTAAAAGCTGCCACGCATGCTTTGCAGAGAATGGCAAAAGTTATTGGCGATTTTGATTCAACTATAGTTAACAAGCTAGCTAGCAAACATCGTAACGGCATAACCAATGCACAGTAACAATAATATATTATTTTGCTGCTAGTGATCGAGCTTAAATTTTATAATTAATGGCAGAATAAATACACGTGCGCGCGCGTCAATGAATGTCGTGGCGCAGAGCACATCAGCCTAATAAACGGCGTTGATTCCGGCGATTCCTTGGTTCGCCTTTTGTTGTTTCGTCGGCACTCACAGGAGATGAGCTAGGGAGGGAGAATTGAAGGCGAAACTCAAATTCCGAAGCAACACATGCTCATCCGATCTCCCCAGTATGACGAGCCTAATATTCTTCTGCTCCTGTTTTCTTTTATTTCATTTACTATTTGGCATTTGCATCACACACGCACACATGGAGCTGAACCCCTGGCTTGCCCAAATCTCGAGCACTTTACGTTAGCATAATCCACCTACTTTTACTGTGTCTCAAATCTCAACATTATCTCTGCCTCCTACCATCAATTTCATACTATAATTATTGACGCTCTAGTTTCCAGTTCCCCTTTGAAACTTTTGTTCCTATCTAGGTCCAGTCCATCTTACCTAACCCAACCATACATGCATTTCAAACCAAAGTTTCAACCTACCCTCGATTCACATGGTGTTTGATTTCTTCACTTTTCAACTTGCATATTGTCATTTACTTTTTGTATGTGTGTGTGTGTGCATATTTCATGGGTGTCTAAATTGGTTTTATTAAAGCTTCTAGGCCATGTTTAATACACACACACACATTTATATTAGATCACCAACTGATTGTCAGAATTCAAGTTTAATCACGCACAGATGCCATATATAAAACCCCCCCGGGGGGGGGGGTGTTGTAATATTGCTGTTGAGAAGCAGGTCATGGCATTTCATGCCCCGCTGCACATGCCTGGCGTGCTGGAAGTGATAATTCAATGGAGTACTGCAACGTGCGTATGAATGGTAAAACACAAGCTTATACAAAAGGCCAATGATAAGATACATAATTGTTACCAATTTACAAAACAATCATGTGTAGCTTCAACATCACGTTCTAGAGCACAATTCTTTTTTTATTTTTTTTTGGGTAGAACGTTCTAGAACACTAAGTCGATCGAAGTTGAATACGAACGTGCTACGTTCCTTTGTTTTTTTATAGGACTATTTTTTGCTCGTTGCTAGTGCAATATTTTTCCGTTGCTTTAAAGGTTTTCTTATATTAAATTTTTCGTGTCATTTTCTATAACTTTCTCAAACTTTTCTATAATTTTTAATTGTTTTATTTTATTTTTATTTTTTGCTTATCATATTTGTGCTTCTCAACAATATGTAAAATATGCTTTTCACTCTCTTCAAAATATATTTATAATGATCTCCTAATACCTATAAATCTCTTCTCTATTAAATATAAATCATATAGGAAACCGAATTATATGGCCTTTCTGATGAATCGATGGTATTTTTTGGACCTTTTAATTTGGCTATTTTAATTTGTATTTACTTATTTGAGTGATTGAGTAGTTTAAATTTAAATTATTCGAAGTTAAGTTTAAATTGGATGATATTAAAGTATATCATATATAGCTATATCCAGGCGTCTGTGTGACATTAGGCCATTAAGGCTGTTGCCTTTTGCCTAAAAAATGTTTATTTATATTCTATATAATTAATCATTGTTTTTCCATTGAACATTAATGTTAATTATATATTTTCATCAAGAATTAATCACTAGCTTATATCCTATACAACCAGTACATCATTAATTTTTTTTATTAAGCATTAGGCCTTTGAAACAATTTAATATATGATTTTGCAGTTTAAAAGACTAGAAAAGTGGTGTGGAGGATAAATACTAATATATTAAGCCTCTTATATAATTTCGTTTTAGGCCCCAAAATTTCTTCACACAACCCTGGTTATATCCATGAGATCCACAATTCTAATTATACATCATATGATGAAGAATATAAAACCAAGATATTTGACAATAATATGTTAATTCCTGAGAAAGGGTGCCGCCATGCCATGTTTTGCATTGTGTCAATAATAAAGTTATTAAATTTGAGCAAGAAGAATATAGTGAGGGAGAGAGGTGGATTCTCTCGAGACAAAAACAAGGAATGTGGAATACAGCCAAAGCGTTTGACAACATTGCAAGTGAGGGATGGACCGACATGTTGACCGGAGAGACGAGCGGATCAAAAGTTAATGGTGCAACAATCCAAAAGAGCAATGGAATAAGGGAATAATTTAAGTTTGTTTAGGTTAAATTTCAGTTCCCAGAGAATCTAGAGCGCATCAGGCGCTGACCGTGGCTTCCAAAGGGATAAACAAATGATTAACATATTGCTAGTGATATCGTTGTCACACTAACGAGGGACTAAACCGACAAAACCAAATGCAATAAAACAAAGGGATGGGAGCAGGTTATTAATTAAGCGTAATTAACAATGCATGCAAATAATGAAGCCTCCTGTTTGTTTAACATTACTAATTAATTAATTAATAGGGTGTGTTGTGGGGGGAATATATATGCAAGAGGAAAAGAGCATAGCAACAAGGTAATGCCGCAAGTCACGTGAGGGAAGCCAGGTTGACGCCGATCAATTTGTTATTCTTTTAGCGTTTCGACATGGAATATTTGGACACGGAGAGGGAATATTGGCGAGAGCAGATCAGTTTTGTCTTGCAGTGCACAGTTACTAGCCGTTCAATTCTTGACGTTGCCACCCGCCATTCCCTCCCACTTCCTCGCACGCGCCGCCTTCCTCCGTATTCTCACATCACGTACCATTTAATGGTGGCCGCCAATTGCAGAGACAACTAAAGGAGGCGCGTGTGAGTGAGGCGTCCGGAATGAGAGGACGAGGAAGAGAGGAAATGGCATGTGGGCGGTCGACCTATAGTGTCGCCGGACATCGCACCCACCTGACATATATGCGCTCGTATTTCTTTTCTTTAACTCTTATTTCTCACGACTTCAATTTTAGTTTGACATTGTCTAGCTTCCCCACGTGTACATCTCGATGCTTATTGGCTATTCCTCACCATATGTGCCTGCCAAAGACCTCAGACTGCTTGAAATGTAATGTGCTGGACCGCTTCATTTGAAATCAAATTTTCATCAGATTTCTTCAGTTTCACATTTGGGTTGAGAGTTGGACATGTTAGCCTGACTCATCACCACCGTGAAATTTGATTCGAGTTTTCCCGCTTTGTATAGTTTGTGGGGGAGTGGGAAAATAAAGCTGAAGCGAATGACAGTTAGTCAAAGATGAAATGAAGAAGGGGAGGAGTGAGAGGTGATGTTTGGAGTTACTGCCACGTCAGCGTGGAACAGGTGCATAAGGGGAGCTTTGAACAGGGATATTTTAGCCTGCCAGTCAATCCTCGTTCGTAATGAAATGAGGGAATATTCCAATAGAAGAAAAGGGCTGTGAAGAGATAATTAAACTGTGATAGAAACAAAAAGAGCAGGGGAATTAAAATGCGTCTCAATCCATCAACGTAAGGAGAGTCTGAATTCCCATCCCAATATTCCATTGAATAGTACCCGTTTTGTTTTTCTCGATTGCCCACCATTCCTTGCAGAATCACGTTATATGGCTGGCTGCCCCTCGTTATTATTATTATTTTTTTATTATCTTACCTATTTTGGTACTCTTGTGCAGATGATGGACCCGGACCCCTCGAATCCCTTCTCTCACCTCTCATGACAGACTAATCCCTCAGCTTCCATTAATAAGTACCACTTTTTTTTTCGCAAACTTCTCGTTCAAACCACCTTCCCCCAAAAGCTCTGATCATCTTTTTCCACTTTCCTGCTTTTTTTTTTTTCTCTGACTAGTGGGCACTAATCTCTGCAATCACCCCATCTCTGCGTAAGAATTTTCCCTTACCTTCCTTCAGCCTAGTGAGATCCCTGCTAAAAGGCTACCCCCCGCCCTCCTTCTCGAAACCATTGCAAATCATGAGGCATTCATGATATAATCACAGCTCATCCCCCTTCTTTTTCAATTGCTCCCTCTTCCTGTCATAGATAGATCCTTTTTCGCAACTCTCATGCTTTCCCGTTTTCTCTTGTGTACTGTGTCAATTCACTGCGTGCTTCTGTAATTGACCCAAATCTCCACCATGTTCACTACATCGCAGCCAGTAATTCGAAGCTTGACGAGTTTGCCAGACCTCTCCTTAAACATAAGCCCGCCGTGTATTTCAGAATGGGAAGTCAAAGAAGTTACGAGCAAAACGCTTTATAATGACATATGCTCAACTTCTGATTCTGGTAGCAGTGCTGGGAGTGACTTAAGCCATGAGAACAGCTTTCTTCACCTTGGCCATCCTGAGCCCACATTGAGCCTGGGCTTAGAAACCCCAGATTTGAATCCCCATCTTTTACAAGGAGTGCTCTCAAGAAACGCTAATTATCACTTCCACAACCATCAACCCCCCCTTCATGCCCGGTGCTTTAAGCGAAATGCTAGAGTCATTAGTGGTGCGAAAAGAAGCATCAGAGCTCCTAGAATGAGATGGACCACGACTCTTCACGCACAGTTTGTTCGAGCTGTTCAGCTCCTTGGCGGTCATGAAAGTAAATCATACAAACATTATTCTAACCATACATATCCTTAGATTAGATTGACAGTTAATCCTTACTTTTCAATCTGTTTGTTGTAGAAAAGCTCTAATTTTGTTGTGTTTTCACTGGCAGGGGCCACTCCAAAGTCGGTATTAGAGTTAATGAATGTTAAGGATCTAACCTTAGCCCACGTCAAGAGTCACTTGCAGGTGGGGTTACTGTTTCCATGTTCTTTCCGTTGATCATGGTCTTTCAGTCGTTGCAGTCCTGATCTTTTACTATTTTTTTTTTCCGGAAATAACCAAAAAAAAAAAAAAGTAACAAAGGCTAAGGAACAACTAACAAGGGTATCTATCTACTGATGGATTTAATCTAAAAGCTTCGTGGACTCTTCTTCTCATTTATGTTGTGCGGGTATTCGTGCAGATGTATAGAACAGTGAAGAGCACCGACAAAGGTACAGGTAAATTTGGTTTTCCCACAAAGGGACTTCATTTTCCATTTCACCTACCATCAATCCATCATTCTCCTTGCTTGAGATCGTCGGTGATTCCAGTGTGACAGAAGCTCTATGATTGAATCTAGTAGTGTTCCCCGTTAAAAAACCAAAGTTGGTTGGAATAAGAGTCATACATACATAGGACTGACCCTGATGTGAATAATTAAGGCAGTGCCCGACAAAGCAAGAGCAAGGGCTCTAACGGGTGTGATGAACCTTGCAGGTCATGGGCAGACGACAGATATGGGTTCGAGCCAAAGGCCAGAGATAAAAAATGTGAATGTGCATGGAGCTTCAGCCTGTGAGGGAGCTGCCCGTTTATTACCACAATCGCTCCAGAAACCTCTCAGGTATAACCCCAATATCCCCCAAAAAACATCATTTTTATTTTTATTTTTTAAAAAACACTTTGTATGTTTTGTCCCTGTAAAATTGAACCTACTGTTGAGTTACTAGTTGTCTAATTCAGTACTTGAGATCAGTGTGTTATACATGCTTCTTTCACATGATCGTATCTGTCTTAGGTCTTTTCTTACTTTTCCAATTGACTACCTAATTGCGCATAGATTTTGACGAACTAAACCTAGCCTTCTTTCGGAATGTATGTAAGTCATCATTTATAGAGAATGCGTGTCGACTGTTCCCCTAAGCAACGCTTATCCGTTAAATATGGTCAGTCGTCAATGGATATATTGATCTCAAACATTATTTTGTGTGTCGGCGTTTGCATAAATCTCGGCATGTTTTATTGCGATCTAAAAAGTCAATGAATATTCATATACCGTAAATTGCTACCCGGTTAAGTTTTCGGTGTCATATTTTTGATGTAATGTTAATTAAGCGGCAGTTTGCAAGTTGAGCAATAGCTCGCTTCATATTTCTTGACAACTTGGGAACTTTTGGACATAAAATGCTGATCATATATAAATATGCTAATTATGTTAGACCCGTGAAGTTGCGCTTTAACTTATACCTTGTAGAGCGTGTTTATGATTAGATTAATGCGTCAATATAATTACAATTGCATTTTCTGTTTAATTATAATATACACACGGCATGTTTTGCTTTCTTTATAGTTATAACTGTTTCCTCTCTTGTTTGACGAACGACACAGAGCATCGTGGCAATCGTCAATGGAGACAAAAAAATATGACGATAGACAAAAACCCCAAATTGATTTGACGCGTTCTCGTGATCTCAAGGCAAAGGAAACAAAGGTATCCATTGAGAACTTGACCATACTGAGCTCGTAGTGCACAACACACACATTTATATGGTCTTGCAATTTCATATCATAGACTAGGTATTCAAAAGGTAGTATAATCAATTATATTGTGAACAGGTAGATGGAGGGAATATAGGGCTGTGGAATTGCGTGAAGGAGAGGTTGGGTTGTAGCAATTTGTCACCTTCGGATGTGATGCATGACCTCGACTTCACACTCGGAAGACCCAGTTGGCAAACATGACCACGCCGAATCTTCAACAGAGTTATGACTCTTCTCTCAAGTGTTCACCGCCAGGCACTGGCTACCTGCTAACCACACTAACCCCGTTCCCAGTCATGAACGTAGTTACATGATATGGATATCTATAATTAATGCAGCTAGCAAATTCAGTGGAACATGTAATTTAACAATAATATTCTCGATCTTGTTCCATTCCATGACGGGTCATTCTGAGTTTTTTGTATGGAAAAAGTGGGGGAGGAGAAAGAGATAAGATTTTGCTATGAAACATATGCTTCAGTCCAAGAATTTGAGGACATTGTCTTTGATGTCATTATCAAAGCAGTGTAAGATTCAATGATTTTATAATGGTTCTTTCAGGCCATGGACCATGGTTGGTCTGTAGTCGGGCAGAAGAGGACCCATGTATTCGAATATTGCTACACGGCATGATATTGGACAGGTGGGTCAAGATTTATGTCCTGCTATATCTATTCAAAGCGATTTGAAATCTACTAATGGAGGTTGAACAAGAGATGAAAATTTGGGCCACATGAAAATAGTCAAACTCCTATTGAAAAATTATTTGTAACCCCCTCCTGCCTGTGATTTTGTTTGTTCGCTTGATCTAATTACTCCTAATAACTAGGCATAAAATCTAGATTCCTTAATTTATTTAAATGATAGAATAATCATTTTGAATTAATTTGCATTGTCCAATATCTGGATGGTGAAAAATCTGTCATCAGAAATAAATAATTATTCTAAATAAATCTAAGTCATCCGAATTAACTAACAAGTGATTATATTTCATTTAAAATAATCAGACGCAAAATTTGAAAGGGGGAAAAAGGCCCTTGTGCATGTGCATAAAGCCATAAAGATGACTTTCCTGACAAGGAAAAAGCATGAGTTGAGCACATATTTCATATTTGGAGGAGGCAAGACTGTTCGTTTTCGGGGTCGCATATATGAGGGTCCACTACTCTTCGTGTAGCGTATGTTTTCATTCAATACTCCATTTCTTCTTTGTGGCCTCATCTCCACTTTCACCATTTTCCAAATTTCAAGTAGGGTCTTTTCACTTTTTTTTTCTCCATTTTTTTTATCCCCACCATTTATTAATTTTATCATTTAAAAAAATTATTTAATAAAATAATTTAAATGATAAACGTTGGAGAAATTGAGGAAAATGGAGGAAAAAAGGTGAAGAGATCCCTCTCTTATTACAAGCTCCGTCCACACCCCCAAATATACATAAAACTGCCATATTATCTGCCTCGATTGAGATATTTTCAATCAAGTCAGTTATTGTATGTACTGTCGTTGTCAGAGGGATCAATTTTTTTTTTTTTGGCAAAAATCAGAGAGATCAAATAAATATCATATCTACTCTCATTCCTTCATGCCACTCTCAGCAATCAGCACTCTATAAACTCTGTTTAATTTGTACGTGGTAATGAAAGGTTGAAAATGGGATTGAGATTGGATTAGCCTACTAATACAACGTTTGGTATGATAGACTGGTTGTTACTTGAGATTGATGAGACCCATGTAGGTGGGATTAAAAAAATTGGGGAGGTGGTATTAAAAATTTAATCCTGAGTTTAAAACTCTCCAAACCAAAATGCCCTTCCTTCTCATCAAGTTTTCATCAAGAACATGCCTCTATCTCCTTCCTCTTTGGTCACCTTCTCCTCCCTCTCTGATCCAGTGCACGTGGGGTGGATGCTCATCGAAGGTGGCGAGCATCAACATTATCCAATCTGGATGCTTGAGCACATGACAATATAACGTTCAACGGTGTGCAATTGCGTTCTCTAATCTAGACGCTGGGACCCACGACAGGATGACGTTTAGCAACAAGCAACAGTGTTCTTCGATCTATCTTCTCCATCGATGCCTTCCCGTACAGGATTAAACCTCTTTATTTTCTTACTATGAGGAGATAGTAAATTCCTTTGACGCCTTCACTTGTCTTCTCCATTGCAAATCTGAAGCTAGCTAAGGGATGAAAGAGAGTTTTTTTTTCAGAAGAGGTTGCATCACAAATTTGAAACTAGCTAAGGGATGAAGGAGATTATTATTATTATTATTTTGCCCCCAAGAAGTGGCTCCATCATAGATCCAAAGTTAAAAGAGGAAGGAGACGTTTTTTTTTTCTTACCAAGAGAATTTGAATAGTTTTTTCAACAAGGGTATTATAGTCTTTTTCAATTATAATTATATATATTAAATAAAGATTATTTAAGCATTCCCAACTCCTACCAAACATAATTTTTAAAACTTATTCTCAGTTTCATTCCCATTTTCAATCCCTTAAAATCTATCATTGGCACCAAAAAGGGCCATAGTGTATAGGATTCACATAAAAAATGTATAGTTCAAGGACCAATAATGTAGGTTGGATATTTTTTTGGCAAACAACTACGTGGGTCAGATTTAATTAAGTATGAATAGAAATTAGGGTAAAGAGGAAAAAATATTCACAAAGTAGTCAGTTATGAGCACCCAGTATCTTAAAGTGACAAAGACGGCAAAAATACCTATAATATTACATGGATCAATGCAAAAGTAATCAGACTATTAACTTTGACCGTTAAATACTAACTGTACTTGCCACGTGTCAGTCTTTACTGACGCGAAATAAAAAAGAGATAAAAATACTCACGAAGTCATTGACCAAGAGCAAAAATACCTATAACATTACCAGATTTGGTGCGAAAATAACCAATATATTCAATTTCTTAAATGTTAACCATTTAGTTAACACCTAAGCAGAAGTTGACTATTTTTTTACTAATATAGACAAAAAATATTTCAAAATAAATTTTTATAAATATTAATCGATCATTGTATAAGTACTTATAATGTTACGTTAATAGGTGCAATAGTGAACAATCCATTAAAATTAATGCCATATGGTTTCTTTCCTTCACCAAATATCTCGCCCCCTTCCTTTCTCCCTCTTTACTCATTTTTCTTATCTACAAAATCTAAAATTTAATATAGTGAGATAAGTTATTAAAATTGAAGATTGAGATTGAGCATATTTGGCTTAAAAACATTGTCACGACCTTAAGTAATTGCATTCATGATAGATTCAAAATTTTTAAATGATTTTCACCACAACTACAAAGAAACAAGTAATTTAATTTGATATTCAGTCAAAACGACATTTTTTTCATATGATATTCATACAATAACTGATTAACTTTCAGAGAATTTCATCTAGAAATATTTTTGGTCTACATCAGTAAAAAAAAAGTTAACTTTTGCTTAAGTGTCAGCTAAACGGTTAACATTTAAGGGATTGAATGGATTGATTACTTTTGCACTAATTTTAGTAACGTTATGGATATTTTTGCTCCTGGCCTACAACTTCGTAGGTATTTTTTCCCCTTTTTAGGCCCCATCAACAAAGACTGACACGCAATATGCACAATCAGCATTTAATAATCAAAGTTAACAATATTAGGTTAAAGTTAACAGTCTGATTACTTTTACACCCATCCATGTAACATTATATGTATTTTTGCCCTTTTCATCACTTTAAGATACTGGGTGCCTGTGGCTGACTATTTTATAAATATTTTTTCTTTTTTACCCTAGAAATTAATAGACCCTTTATCCCTAAAAGGATGAAAACGATATGATATAAGTAAATCTTTCAAATTTATAGGATTGAATCTCATTGTAAGAACTTAATTGGTATTAATTTGGATTGGCTGAATTCAGATATAAATAAGAAATACCAAAGTTGTTGCTGGAAACGCAACAGTACGTAAACGTTCCCAGCAGCAACATAGGAGAAAGTGGCACGATCAATGCAATTTGACTAAAATTATGAAGTCCCGGTTGTCACGTGCAATTTATTCAAGAAAAATCCCGTAACTTCCTTTTTCAAATGTTCTCTGATATTGTAGAGCATGAAGATGTTTATTTATTCATTCATTTTATTTACATCACCATACGAACTTGAAGAACATATAGGTAAGGTGCAGACAGGTCGGAAATTATTTCTAAGTCCCGGCATGCATGCCTCATGGCATTGACATGCATTATAAATTAACGGAAATCATTCACCATTGCGAAGATCAGATTCAGAGACACATGAGCCCGGCTTTTGCAGTTAACTGTGGCGACCATTTTGGTGACACTCTTGTTTCTGTAGTTCCACTGGGAGACACAGAATTAGATGGAAGAAGTAACGGAGACAGTGAAAAGAAAGAGGCTCCGGCGGAGGCAGGAGGTTGGCCAATCATGGGTCACCTGCACCTTCTAAGTGGGCGAATAAGGCAGTGTATCGAGCACTGGCAGCAATGGCGGATGAATATGGGCATCTGAGCATTTGTGGTGAGTAGCTGGGAAGTCGCAAAAGCTCAGAATGCTTCACCACCAATGACAGAGCACTGGCCACCCGTCCCACAACCGTCGCCGCCAAGCATATGGGCTACAACTATGCCGTCTTCGGTTTTGCGAAAGATCGTCACTCTCGAACTCCTCTCAGACCGCCGACTCGAGATGCACAAGCACGTTAGATTGTCCGAGATTGGCGGTGCCAAAAAGCGATCAACCAATTCTTTCATCTGATCGGCGTTTTGGTAGTTTCGTATGGCATTAAGAAGACGGGGACCACTAGGAAAGGGCCATGAAGAAGACGGCTAGAGACTTGGACGGCAACATCCATGAAAGCTGGCTAGATGAACATCGCAAGCAAAGAGCTGGGGCCGGACAGGACTTCATTCACGTTATGTTTTTGCATGAGGAGTCAGACATAAGAAACCTTGAGTATCTTCAGGCCATTGTGAAGCAAAGCCTGCGTCCGTAGCAAGCAGGTCCCCTGTCAGGACCAGGGAAGCCATGGAAGATTATAATGTGAGTGGTTATCATGTGCCAGCGACCAGTTGCACCCGCTTGGTGGTAAACTCATGGAAGATCCATAGGGATCCGAGGATTTGGGAAGATCCATGTGGTTTTAAAGCAGAAACAGGCCAAGCACCTGAGGGCGGCATCACTTGGAAGTGATTCCATTTGGATGGGGAAGAAGGTGGTGTCCTCGCATGTTATTGGCACTCCAAGCGCATGCTTCACTTGACACTTGCTCGCCTGCTTCAGGCTTTTGAATTTGCCACTCCTGAATTGAGTGCCGTCTTGGCCAATCTTTTCACAAAGCCGAGTTTAAACAATAAGAGTCTCACCAGCCATTACTTGTGCTTTATGATTGGTAGTTTTGTTTTCTTAATTAATAAGATCAGAGAGCCTGTCTCCACACAATCAATGATATTAAAAAGTTCGAATGTCTTCTTATGAATAATTCTCGTGCGGGTCTTGCATCAGCTTCCTTTTCAATGTCTTTGACTTTCATTTCTCTAGACTTGCCCTCCACTCAAAGAAATTAAATTAGCTTGATGCGCCACTGGGAGTTATTTTCCTAAGGCATATAAGAGGAAACCAAAAGTGGTAAATGACTCAAGTGGAAATACCTTGACTGGTCCAGACAA